AAAAAAAAACGGCTGAACCCAAACACTTTAGCACTGAAAATTGACCAGAGGCACTTAAGAATTTGGGAAGCATTTATGCTTGTACACCTGCTGAGCTCTGGGTGGGAACAGTGGGAATAACACAGAGGTCCTGCCAGGAACAGTCAGAATGTGAGAAGTAATAGCTTAACTAAGGAATGTGGAGGCAATGCCTGTTGGAGAGGTGAGTAATGCCCAAACCTAGAGTTTTTGTTGGTGGAAGTGATCTCAGAGGCAGGTGAGCAGAGAATGCCATAGGCTAATCCACAGGCTGTGGTCATGGTTGGGGCAACTATATACCTGTCTAAGTAAGACTGCATGGCAGTGGAGACCCAAGAGGGTCCAAGCCATGTACTCCTGGCCAATTCTGAGGTTAGGCCAAGGCCTTACCGGCACCAGGTGTTTGCGAATGAGCTCTTTTGAATCACTGGCTAATCAGTAAGCAACAAAGACACAGGAAGATAAAAATGATTAAAAACAACCAAATTAGGTGCCCTCCCTGGTGGCGCAACTGGTTAAAGTACAACATTATGAAGCTATCCACAGCTACTGCAGCATGAGTTCGATTCCTGGTCAGCGAGGTGACCCACATGGCATGGCAGACATCTCCTGACTTGACCACTGCTCCCCTTAGCAGTGTATTTTAGTCGATCTGCCTGTTCGGCTCCTCACTCTGTCTCTGGGGAATCTTTTCACCCCCTGTACCTCTGGCTCACACCCCAATCTTATATGCATAAATAAATAAATACTTAAAAGAAAATAACCAAACTATGAATATTTGTTCTTAAAGTCTTTAATCATTGTTAAACAGTTTTCTTCTGAACTGTGAGGGACTGCTAATGTTTCCATGCATGAAACCACATGGAGAGGCCTTGAGACTACCTTAAAAGAGAACGGTGCCTGGCCAGCTCCCAGCAGCTTCATCCCATTGCTGGGTTTGCTCTCTTCACCATCTGATAGCAACTCCCTAAGAAACCTGGAATCATACTGAACTATACCTTTCCTGAGTTCCTAATTTACAAAACTGTGAGATCAGGTTGGAAGCAGCTAATGTCCAGAGAGGGAAAAGTAACTTAAATGAATTAGGATTTTGAGATAGTGGCTGATTGTGCATCCTGTTACATCCCGATAGCCACATGAAACTCTAATCTACCAACTACTTCTCCAGCAGGGGATGGGCTTGATATAGGAAAGTATGAACTTAGAAAAGCACTAGAAAGGCTGAAAGTACCACGATGGACCTTCAGAAATGTCCCTAGGAACAATGAGGACTCCACTGCAGCTCTGTTGGAAGTAAGAAGCTCCCACTGTCTCAACCTATGAGGCAGGGGAATGGATCATGGGACACTGATGTAGGAAGATCTCATAGTTCCAAGACCTTTCTTGACAGTAACACCCAATAGCTATGGGAAAATGATCTTCACTGCATTTCTGCCTCCCAAATCTTATAAATAGGCATCTGATCTGTAAGATTCAATTCGGATCCATATTGTGGACAAACATGATGTATGGGGCAGAAGTTGAGGGAACAAGAACATGAAGCACAGGGTTTATTTCCACAGGGTCAATGAAGTAGGAACCGAGCGAGTATGCCACTAGAAGAAAGCAAGATAATTTATGAACTTCGGAAACTGAGGGGAAGTAGTATCTGGGAGACAAAACAACATCCAATTAAAGTTAGAATTGTCTATGGTGACTTAAGGTAAAGCAAGCTGACTTAAGGGCAGAGTATCTGGTCATTGCATAACTAAACCACCTCTTGTAATTCATCTACTGCTGAACTCTACTAGTTACTCCTTGTCCTAGGGCATAGATGTGGCCTTTAATCTTCAATTTAGCAATATAAATATGTATCAATTGAAAGGCATTCGTTCTTAGATAGAGATGAAGCCTATTTACTCCCTAACTTATGGCGTATTGGGCAGGAGTGGGTTTCTAGGTACAATTACAGTTAGAAAGCTGCAAACAGAAGAGCCTAGGTAAGGAAGCTGGTTAAGCAGTGTAGTAGGGTGGTAGTATAGCTGGGTAGGGTGATAAAACAAGAATAAACTGGACAGTTAGCCACATTAAAGCTACTTTAGTACTTCTATTTTATAAATCCATAATGTTGCTGATCTTAAGCAACTCAAACCAGGACCGGGGGGAGGGGAAAAAAGTAATAGTGAACAACTATATACCAGCGACATTTTATCGGGGGTGCACTGGGGAATGGGATCAAAAATGGGGGAGGAGTGCATGGGACTATGGTGATGGCACTCGGGTGAACTGGTGTGCATCATTTTGTGCCCTTCAGCTCCATCCATGTTGCTGCAAATGGCATGAGTTTATCTTTTTTGATTTGCTAAGTAAAATTCCATGGTGTAGTATGTACAACTCCTTCTCGATCCATCTATTTTTGGGCATTTGGGTAAATTTTACATCTTCCCTAAGGTAAATAGTGCTGCAATAAACATGGGGGTACAGGTGTCCTTTTGAATTAATGTTTTTGTGCCCTTTGGGTAGATACCTAGGAGTGGGATTGCGGGTCATATGGTAGCTCCATGTTTAGCAGTTTGAGGAAACGCCACACAGCTTTCCATAGTGGTTGTACTAGTTTGCATTTACACCAGCAGTGTAGGAGAGTTCCTTTTTCTCCACATCCTCACCAACATTTTAGTTTTTTTTTAGTGTGCCATTCTCACTGGTGTGAAGTGGTACCTCACTCTGGTTTTGATTTGCATTTCCCTCATTACAAGTGATACTGAACATGTTTTCATGCCTGTTAGCCGTCTGATGCCTCTTACTTTCTTTATCCCCTTTCTCCTTCCTGTTCCCTCTAGTAACCAACACATTTTTCACTACATCTAAAACTATTTTTGTTGTATTTTATATATATATATACATATATATATAATTATTTTTTGTTATCTACAGTCCAAAGATGGAAACATCCAATATCTGTTTTTCATTTTCTGACTTATTTCATTTAGCACAATTACCTCACGATTCCATTTTGTCCCAGAAGATACTATTTAACCTTTTAAGTAGTTGAGTAATATTTCACTAGTATATATCCCATAAGTTCTTTATCCAGTCATTTGTCATGAGTAATTAGGTTGGGTCTATGACTTGGCAATTGTAGAAAGTGCTGCTATGAATACAGGAGTAGAGAAGTCTTTTAATATTAGAGTTTTCAAATTCTTTGGGTAGACAGCAGGCAGAGATATTGCTGGGTCATATGTTATTTCCACTTTCATTTTTAAATACTGTTTTCCATAAAGGCTGTACCAGACTACATTCCCACCAGTTTTGGAAATAGATTGTAGTTATGTAACAGGTGGTCCTGGGAAAACTGGAGCTTCCAGATTCTCTGCCCCACCTGTGGAAAAGCAGAGCTAAACATGGAAGAAAGCAGTTGGAGAAGAGACAAAGAAGGGAGGATAAAAAGAAGAAGGTTGGAGAACCAGAAGGAGACCTGGAGGAGGTGCATGGATCAGAGAGATGTGTGAAGAAAATGCACTTGCTTTTTGGTCCTGAATTGTTTGAAACAAATGTGGTGAGAGACTTGTGGGAAGGTTAACAATGGCAGCTTTTATCTTGATCTTGATTTTGCTTTTCCTTTCAGACTTGTTGGGTCATTTCTGACCCTTTTCTATGGGCCCTCACAAGAAGGTGTCTTTAGACTTGTGGTAAGCTTCCAGGCATCAGTGGCCCTGTCCTGGGCCAACCTGTTTGGCTGGACATCTACCCACAAGAGGATAGGTAACTTTGGGTTCTTGATTTCAAAACTATTGTCCCCTTTTCTGTACGGCACACTAATTGTGTTAAAGTTTCTTTCCATTGAAGGTCTTATATATTTTGTCTTGATGTGGCAGATGGCAGAACCTACTTAGAGTGGGCAGGTTTGGGTACTCTTGGGTGCCCCGCCCCTGTCCTTTAACAGTTACGTAACTGTACTTTTACTAAAGATCAACAAATTGTACAAATATAAGGAGCGAATTTTATGCCATATAAATGATAACACAATGAAAGTGTTAAGAGGAAAAATAACCAAGATAAGTAGAACTTAGAGGTGTTACCAGAATCTACTTAGACATCTTATAAATACTGACTGAGGAAAAAAGTGAACTGGGTTAGGACAGTGTACATGCATACACATATGAACAGTTTACTTCTCAAGACACAGCTGCTGTGTTCTCTGCTTCATGGTGCTGGGCATATGTTCTCTGTTTGCTGAGAACAAATGCATACTCAACTCTTAGACATTTTTCTTTATTGCACCTACTACTTATTCTTGAACTGTATAGGTGTCTGCTTCTTGGACTAGACTACAAACCTCTTCAAGACAAGGACAATATCTTCCTTATCGTGTATTTCCGATGCCCAGTCAGCTTTGGGAACTGAACAAGCATCAGTGAATGTTTGTCAAATTGATGAAAGGAAAATTAGGTGGAAGGAAGGTTAAGTCTGTACTGAACAAATCTGAAAGTAGATAGAAGACAGGGCTCATATTAATTTAAGCGTCAGACTAAACAGTTTTTAAACCGGAGATATATACATCAGGGTATAGCTCTGTATATTACCCCAAATTTAAACATCTTTTCCTTAGATTTGGACAAAAACTCATTTTAATCCCAAGACAATCAGTTCACAGAAACACAAACTTTCTAAGATTAGTCTGCTCAGTAAGCAAATCAATCATTAGAGAAATCTCAGTGTACATCTGTTTGGATTAGTAATGTGGCTGGCTTGAAGGGGTGGCCCAGGTTGAGCCAATCTTTCTGATCTGTGCTTTCTATCTCATGCAGCGCTAAATAAAATGCAAAGCAAGCTTCAGCGCAGACTTCGGTGACCCACCAGATGGTCTTGTGTATCCTGTTCTCTGCAGCTTCATTCATGAGTGGGATAAAAACAAGATGAAGACATGCATGCCCGGATCAGCTTCTCAGGCTTCTGGACTGTAACTCGGAAAAGGGATTCAGCTAGTGAAGACCAGGCACCTAGAAGCCTTAAGCCTGGCCTCAATTCCCAAGGCCAGGAGGTACATGGAGGTAAAAGGCATCTAAAGCGCTCAGGCGGTGCAAGAGAGAAGGGAGGCAGGAGACTTTAGGGGCGGGGAAACCTGGAGACTGGGAAGGAAGGAGAATCAGTAGTAATGGCCAGGCGGTTATAAGTCTGGCCGGCACGGTACTGTGGTTCTTTCTGCCGGGTGTGAATAGACTACAGACCTCGAGCTGAAGAAGAAACGTGCTCTGATGAGTGAGCAAGGCAGGGGTGGCGAACCCCCGATCTTAGGAAGGCCTTCGAACTTCTGAGCTCAAGGTCTGACTCTTGGGGAGTCCAGGGAGGACACTAAGGGGAGCTAGCCCACAGTTGCCCGGCCTGACCCGGCTCAAGAATCCGGGAATCCCCAGTAGCGTCACGCAGGACGCAGGCCAGGCGTCAGGGGGTGTGACTGGGCCGCATTCTGTCCCCTCCCGTAAGGGGCCGGCTGGAGAGGGGTTTCCTGAGGCAGGGGATCGCCGGACTCACCTTCCTCCCGCCCTACCGGCTGGGCCCCGGACACGGCTTCCCAGAGGCAGCGCGCCCTCTCGCGGTCGAAGCGCTGTCCGTCCTGCTCTTGGCTGTCCCGCTCCTCCGAGCTGTTGTATGGCCGGGTCCCTCCGCCGTCCGCAGCCTCCAAGGTGCCCAAACTGGGATACTCCATCTTCCCCGCAAGTCTTAACAGGCCGACAGTCGCGCCTGAGCCTCAGTCTCGCGAGATCTAGGTGGGAATTTGCCACCGGCCAACAAATCTCGCGAGGTTTGGGTTCCGCAGAGTGCGTTGCTGCGTCTTCCCTTGGCTGCGTATTTCTCGCGCCACCTGGGAGCTGGAGCTTGTGCGGCGAATTTGAAAGTCTGTCACGCTTTCCACAGCAGCCGGCTCCCTGACAGCCTCTAGCGGGCCTTTGGGGTCTCACTTTGCTCACGGTCAGCCTTTGACACCCAGTTTGTTTTCACGGAAGTCCTGACATGTGGAAATACCCCATTTCACTGATAGGGAAACTGAGGCTCAGGGCCTCGAACTAGTTTACTCAAAGAATTTGCAGCTATTAAGTGGTGGAACCTGGACTCGGTTTCAGTGATTCTTTTACTGCTTATAATCTATATCAATTGAGTTGCAAGTGCTAAAACCCAGCCAAGACACACCCCCCCCACCACTCTTCCATCTCCAACACTGTCAAACATGGAATCTTACTTTACAACCGAACATGTGTAAAATCTTATTTTACAACTGAAAAATAAGATCTTACAACTGAAAAACTCCTTCCCAGTTTTCCGAGCTAGTGTCTCTTGCTAGGGCCCTTTGCCCTTCAGACATCCCTAACAATCCTCTTACAAGAAGAAGCTTGCATGACAACCTAGTGCTCAGACTCCCCCAAACCTTTCCATCTCCATGTCTCTACATTTTTCCTCTTAAAAGCCAAGTCCGGCCCTCCCTGGTGGCGCAGTGGGCTAAAGCTCAGCATTGCAAGCGAGCCAAGGTCGCTTATGCAGTCTCTTCAGTAGGAGTTCGATTCTCGTGGTGCTGCAAACCTCTCCTGACCCGCCTGCTGCTTCTTCGGCAGTGTACTTCGTTAGTCTGCCTGTTCTGCTCCCCACCCTGTCTCTGGTGAATGCTCTCACCGCCCCTGCACCTCTAGCCTGTACCCCAATTCTGTATGCATAAATAAATAAATCTTAAAAAATGAAAGCCAAATCCATACATACTTCAGCAAACAGGGCCGTACAAAAATAGACTTCCTTTAACTTCCCTGATCTCATCTACTATGTTAGTGTTCAACTTGTTCATTTCTGTCCTGGAATGCATTTTCTCATGGTTTAGTCACTTATTTCTTTTGGCTACCCTATCGAAAGATCTGCTCCTCCATGCATGCTTCATGCTTTCCTGTCCCCTCCACCCCCCACTATCAGATTTGTGCTCCACAGAAGACAAGCCCTAGAAAAGAAGGGATTTTTGTTTATTTTGTTTTCAGCTTACATCATAGCTACATACCAAGTATTTATTGAATGAATGAGAATTATAATTACTTACATCAACCTCATTAATTCAGCTGTTTTATTGAGAACTTACTATGATATAGAAGTTATTTTGGATATTGGAATGCAATGTTGAAGGAAACAGTGAAGCTGTTGTAGTGTGTTTTTTATTCCAGTGGGGGAGAGTGTAATAAACAGGTAGTAATTAGTGTTAAGGAGAGTATAAACCAGGAACACACATTGGGTAAATGATGGGTCAGATCTTAGGGTGGTCAGAGGAAGCTTCTGAAGAAGTGACATTTAACCTAAAATCTGATTGCTGAAGGAAAGGGCATGCAAAAATCTGGGAAATAGTGTTCCAAGCAGAGGAAATAGCAAGTGCAAAGACCCTGAGGCAGGCATGCATTTGCAATGTTGGAGGAACAGGGAAAAGGACAGTTTAACTGGAGCCTGTTGAACAAGGGGAAAGTGGTTTTATTATTATTTTCTAAAAAGATTTATTTATTTATGTATACAAGAACTGGGGTGTAGGCAAGAGGTGCTGTGGGGGGAGAGGATTCACTAGAGGCAGAGTGGGAAGCAGAACAGGCAGATTGACTGAAATACACTGCTGAGGGAAGCAGCGCCTGAGACAGAGAGGGTCAATTCTTTATGGGTCTTATGGGTCATTTCCCTGGTTGGGATCAAAATCATGCCCCGGTGGCTGGCCATACCTTGATAGTGCTGAGACTTAACTCCTGTGCTATCAGGGAGATCCAGAAAATGTCATTAGAGAAGGCCAAAGAAAGAGATAGAGACTTTTCTTGTTTGAGAAAACATGCTTACCAGTGAAATTACTCATTTCTACTATAAATATTAAGCATCATCTATTTCAGACCTCATGCCAGGCTCTGGAGCTTCCACTACAGTAGATAACTGTGCAGTCAGTCATCTGTACATCATTTGTATAGTGCTTCACAGTTTACGAAGCACAGTTTATAACATGCATTGTAGCATTTTATCCTCAAGGTGGTTCTCATATGGGGCATTCTTTCTTATTTGAAACAGACTGGAAGAGGTGATGACTTTATCAGTGTCACACAGCTCACAGCTAATTAGTGACAGAACTCATGCTTGAACACTAGATGCAAATCTATGTCCTTTTGCCAACACTAGATGACCAACCTAAATATCAGCAACTGTACTAATTTGTCTTTAAAAGTTCTAGTTACTCATATTTATATAAATAAATGATGCAAATTATTCAATTAGAAATCCCAAGGGATGGAGGGCATTTTTTTTGAAAGTCCCAGAACTCCAGGATGTTTTTGAACACAAGGGAGTAAATCCTGGCAGTACAGTACTTAAGTTGCTATGCATGTTATTGGGAAAAGTTCCCCCCAAACTTCCGACACTCCCAAACCAATTACATACATAAATAGACTCTATTTATTCTCTAGTGACTGCTGGCATAGATTCTACCCTATGATACTGTCAGGTTTCTGAGCTACAGTGCTGGTGACAACAGTATGCTGCTTTGTCTTTGTGCAAGTGCTTCCAATAATGACTCAGCCTTAAATTTCTTGCTGGTACCTGTCTGATGACTTATATTTGTAGAGCTGGCTTTTTATTTCTTTATAGGAGAAAGTGAGATCCATTTTCCAGTGTGTTCTACTTTATATTGTTGCTGTGGGAGAAGATTAATCCTAATAAAATGACTTTGCTGCCCTTCTTCATGGCACTGGGGTTAAAGTCTCAGTAATATGAAGCTATAATTCAAGCCATCGCCAGCCACTGTGGGATGAATTTGATCCCCAGTCAGGGAGCTGACCTACATGGTACATCAGACCTTTTCCTGTCTCACCCACTGATGCCCTCAGCAGAGTATTTCAGTCCATCTGCCTATTCTCTTCCCCACTCTGTCTTTGGTGAATCCTCTCATCCCCCACACCTCTGGCCTATACCTCAGTTCTTGTATGCATACATAAATAAAAATAAATATTTTTTTTTATTTTTACATCATTTTGCACATT